GGCGCTGACCAAAGGTCGAAATTTTAGTTGGTCCTTTTCACCGCTAGATGGCTATTATGTTGAAGAAAAAGGGCGCGAAAATTTGAATGTAGTTTTGTAATGAATATTGTTGCGACGGTATGAAAGTGCTTCAACGTGCTTCAACTCCCCGGCGTAACAATATAAAAATGTTGGTAGTCCTTGAAAGGGGTAGTTCAAGGGGTGATTTGAAACAACACTTGCGCTAAGGAAAAAATTGTTTCAAATCACCCCCTGAACCATCCCTTTCATGTATCTCTGACTGCACCTTAGTGTATTTATACTAAACATGAATGTTTCCCCTCTAAAGAAAAAGCTATGAAGTAATGGAGAAAATGATTCAATTGTAAAATTAAATTGAACATATGCTATAGAATTTTTATAAAAAAGTACTTGTATATTTACATTTAAATAATTTTTTTAAAAAACAATCATTTTCTTGGATACCATCATATCGAACGGGATAAGTTCAATTTTTCAACAAATTATTTTATTTTAACAGAAACATAATAAGAATAAAATCTCAAGTTATACAAAAACAATCTACAAACTATAAACATGATAAGTGTTTCCAAAATCACTTGGGTACCTGACATATTATTGCAATAATGGAAAGGATGTTAAAAAAAGAAAAGGAGCATATATTAACATAATTTAGCATTTTCCATTGCATTTTATAAAATGTTTACATGGGGAAATATTTACAAAAATATGAGTAGGGTATGATGAAGTGTAGAAGAGAGGAAAAAGGGACGAACAATATAATTTTATGAACGCTTCAATTCAGGGTACCCCGACATTGAGGGGCTCCACATAGGCAAGGAATTTTGTCATCCTCCAATGGAAATTTATAGTCATATGTAATTTCTTCGTTAACTCCTATTGGTTGTTTACTATAGATTACAATTTTCTTTTGGCTTTCGATTGTGATTACTTTTGCATAACAATTCGGCTGAAATAAAGAAGAAGAAGAAGTAATGAATAATCTCACTAAGATAATATTATTTATACCTATTTATCTGAAAACTATTTATACAGAAATAGTAAATTGTAGTAGATTCTCAATATGATATCGTAGTCGGAAGTATATAGAAGAGAGAAATTCTCTTTTGAGACTTTTTTATAATACTCACATTGCAGCTGTGATTAATGAACCGTGCTAAATTGCCACACTTCGTTGCATCAATAATTGTATCCAAGTCAATACGGAAAAGGTAAGAACTACCTATTCCGGTAGCTTCGTATTGAGACTCTCTTAAATCAGCAACAACTGGCCTAACCATTTGACCAACATATTCAATAACCATTTCATCAGCTGCAATTGGTTCCATAGCAAACAAACCCCAATCGTGTATGCCAGATTTAGCGAATTTTAACTGCTTTTTCCTGAACTATAGTAATACAAAAACATGGTAAAATATTGATAAGTATTTAAGTATATTAAAATATTTACAATAAAATACAATAATTTAAATCTTACTTTCAACTGATTGAATTTAAGAAGATCACTATCGGTGTCGATACCGAAAGCCGTCAATAAGCGGCGTTGATTACTTCGAGCTTCACGAGACAGAGCTTGCATTTTACCCGTTAACGCTTTAGTGTTATTTTTTGGACCATTCATTGTACCATCACCTCCCGCATAAGGGCCATTATTATCTTCGATATCATTACTGCGCTGTATACTTTGCGCATAATGATGCTGAAAAATAATTTTAAGTAACACTACCAACCAGTAACATATAACTACTTCTTTTTATAAAAGGAAATTGGTTAAATATTAACACTAGGTTTACTAGGACCACGGTCATTTTTACTTATTCCACATTTCACAGGGTTTTACAGAAACTGTTTATACTTTTTGCTAACCACTTATGCTGATCTTTATCCGTATAAAAGGACAAGCATATATCGAGATTCATTTTAGTTCAAGCTTTCTGATTAATTTGAGTAAATCGACTTCACTTATTAAAGCATTATCTTTTCAGTAACAGAAATCTGATAACAAATTTCCGTGAACCTAGTATTAATATAAGAAAAATCATACCTTATGTTTAGCTTTTTCTCGCACATCAACTTTGTAATATCCTTCAGTTCTTGCACTTCCACTTGCGTGTAATCTAAGCTCGTCTCTTTTTCTTCGTTTTGCAGGGCTTGGAATATCTGTAGCAGGATGATCGACCCAATGCGTATCATTCAACCAATAACCTTGACTGTCATCGGCTAATAAAGCTTCGTAACTTCGTCTTAAATATTCCACATCCTCTGCATCTATACCTCTAGTTAAAAATTCGTACAAAATAGCCATTTCTGACATAAGATCTCGTTCTTTGTATGTTATCGTTGGTTCCTGGACAACTTTTTGAGGATACTTTTCATAAACGAATTCATTTTGAATATTTTCTTTCTCTCCTTCGTGATTTTGATGATTTTGATGATGTATCTTCGTGTATTTATTAGATTTTCGCTTTTCTACTTTGTGAGTTTTATCTTTTCCCTTGGCCAGTTTTATAATCTTCGAGGACTTCATTTTTACAGGTTTTATTGGTGTCGGAGGTACACGAACTACAAACTCCGGTATTTCTGGTTGTGATGGGGGTAATGAATAAGAATGTTCCATGTATACTTGTGAAGCTTGCGAACCAGGCGAACTTGGACTTTGTTGACCATTCAATCGAAGATCAGTCTCAGCTTGATACCTTAATCTTCTAATTTCTAAACTTTCTTCCTCCGAATCGGTAGTAGGTATTTCACTAAACATTTCAATCTTTTCCGATTCTTTTAATATCGGTTCATCATTAATGTACTTAGCAGACATAGTTTGAAGAGCTCTAATAATATTTGGTTGTAAAGGTCCTGGACTCCGATGTCTTATAATATTATCTTGTCCAGCTAACGTTATTAAAGCTTCCGCTGCAGAATTTTCCATTTTTTGCATATCGCGAGGTTCTTGTTTTACTGGTGAAGTATACGTACTCTTTGCTATATTTTGTGTCTCATCTTCCACATTCTTTACTTCTATGTCTTTATTCATTGCTCTAGATTTTTCGAAATGTTCTTCATTGAAAGATTTCTCATTTATTTTTTCGATTTCTTCTTTATTGTTTTCACATCTTAGCGGAGATGATATGGGGCTGGGTTCATTTTCAAATTGTGGGAATTCATTTGAATTTACATCTTTTATTTTAATGTTCGGTATTGGTGTTTCTCTACCAGTTGGGGTTGGACAATCTAGCGACCTTTGAATTGCAAGTTCCGTTAAAATATCAGGATCTTCGCTATTGCAAGCCAAAGGACGTTGATCTGACATACGACTGTCTGTGTCTTGCTGAAAATGAAAGATTATATCAATATAATAAATCTAATATATACTTCATCTTCAAAGTTTCCAGAACATACTTCTTCATCGGAATTATCATTAGAACTGCTAGAAGATTCATTGCAGCTCATTTCGTCGCTACTGCATTCGTTTGATGATGACGATGACGACGAAGACGACGTCGTTGACGACGACGACGACGACGACGATGATGAAACACTCGGAAGAGAAGTAATTGGCCTTTTAACCTTTTGTACCGACGTTAAGTCAAGATCACTATCACTTTCTATGATTTCAGTATCACCATGATCAGATTGGCGACTATCTTCATCTTGTGGTATTGGACTTGGAGCTTTATTTTTGCGCTGAAATACATATAAGTATCCGGTATAAGGCTAGTAGAAATATCTTCAAAATTACAAATATATAATACAAGAAATATCTTACCCTGAAAGAAGGCATCTTTGGCATACTAGCTCTAATGCCCAACCCAAATCCATCATAATTAAATCCAAGCGGAGTTGCTTGCTCTAAAAGCAACGATATCCCTTGAGGTTTCGAGCTTTCCTCTTTATTACCATTATTATTAACAATAGTATTATCTCCTCCTTGATTTTGACTTTTTTCAGACTTCTTTTCATCCCACCATACTTCAAACAGTTTGAACGCAGTATTCTCAATCATTTTCTTATTAAAATCCTTTTTTAAAATTTGTTTCAATTCATTTACAACTCTGTTTAATACTCCATTAATAGTAGGACCCTAAATTTTCAATGGTTAAATTTTATGTACATATATACGTTATATCATGTATAATATGTAGATTAGGGTGACCCTTATTTTTTCACACCAGAATTTTGTTGAAGATAACCCCCAGAATGGCTCCAATAAATGCAAAAATAACTTCCAAAAAAATATTTCAATAGTTTATGTAAAACTACATAAACATAGGTCCGCCGTTGCTTCCATTGGTGTACCAAATTTGTCCATCTACCTAGCATTAATTTTGTTTATATATCTACTGATATGAAAACGATCTTTCAAAAAGTGCATATGATTACAATAGCCTGTCTCTGAAATTATAGATGACCGAAATTTTAGTTTGATTTCCAGTGGTTTTAATGCATGTAAAATTTAGTGAAATATCATTTATACACTAGGCAATACAACAAAATAAATTTTACATAGGTGGACAAACTTATTCGACATAGAACAACAAATGTTCCCATTTATATAATTTTATATATTAAATTTCAAAATACGTTGAAATTATATATATTGTGTTACATATTGAAACCACTGTAGAATATGAGTGTACAAAATTCATAAAAAAAATTTCGACTATCTATCGCTAAGGACCACCCTAGTATATACATATATGTATGCATATAGTATACACAGTACATCTTCTCAAACTACCTCTCTATCAGGACTCAACTCAATTAGTTAAAGGAAACAAGGAATTGAAATTCAATAAATCTATACTTATGACGGGGAAGAGATTACGTTAGATTAAGTACCCGAATAAAATGAAAGAATAAGAAAAAAATCACAGCAAGTTCCAGGAAATAGCGGGTATAACTTTTTGGTCGCTTGTGGAGCAGAAAATTTAGGTAGTTTAAGGAGATTTGCCGTATATAGTGATATACATATACGCGCGCGCGTGCATGCGTGTGCGTGTGCAAATAAAAAAATATATGTACCTGTGGATTATCTTTTGTAATATTATGATTTGCCATAGCATGAAGCCGTGACTGGAAGGATGGATAATAGCTTGCTCCTTGATGATTTCCTACTGCGCCAGAAAATGATGTGGTATTAGGTTGATAATGGCTTTGTAAGTATGTTGTTCCATAAGGGTACGGATATTGCGATGGTCGTGGCCAATGGTACATATCACTGGTAGGATAATGGGTAAGATGTCCAGGATAACCAGCTCCTGGATACAACTGACTTGTAGGTTCTGTTTGAGCTATAACCTGTGTATTTTAATTATAAAATATTTCATATTTGTAACGACATGAAAATAAGGTTCTGAATCGCTGAATATGTTATTAACATAATTACCTCCTCAATTTTTTCATCTCCTGAACTTAATGGACTTAATGACATTCTATCGTCATCGGGTGGAGGTGGAGGTGGTGGCTCTTTCGGTGGTTCTGGTTCAATATCATCTGGAGCTGGACTATAACTTCCCAATAATGCTTCATCTTCGCTTGAACTTATAACACTACCTAATTCTTCGTCAACAGAAAGTTGATTAATACTATTTTCGTGTATTTTCCAACGTTCCTTATTCCTTTTCCTCATCTTTTCAAAACATGACTTATACATTTCATGAGAAAGAAAAGGGCTTGGTGGTTCCGAAAGCATTTCGTTATCCGCATTGACAGACTTTTTCTCATCTTCGGAATCACTACCGAACTGTAAGAAGGGTGGTGCCATTCCTCCTGCTTTATCTTTTAATAGCATAGCAATTCTTGTATCCAAGTCTAACGTTTTACGAGTCTCTATTGGCGATTCACCCGATGAGATTTTTGTAGCACTTTGATTTTCTTTTTCTTTTTCTTTTTCTTTTTTAGGAATATGATGCATTTTCGCATTAGAAGCCTTCGTAATTGGAACTACATTAGAATTAGGATTATCTAAGTTTGTCCCGTGTTGCACAGGCCACATAGAAGACGACGCGTAACCTGTTGGCCCTGTGTTACCTCCCCACCATAAACTTGAATTTTGTTGCATCGGAAGATTTTGTGGTAGATTCTGAGGTATGTTTGCTAAATAATTATTCGAAGGTTGATGATGATAACCACTATAATAGAAATCATAATTTGTAGCTGGAGTAGAATTTTGAGAATAATTACTAGAATAATTTAATTCACTGGGTGCAGTACCATAGCCTAAATCGCTTCCAGTACTGCCACTAGGCGTAGGATAATCTCTATATTTGCTGTATCTAGAGTTTTCTACATACGTATCTCTGGATTTTTCTATACTTGATGTTATCTTTTTGTTACTTCTGAAATCATCTCTTTCTTCAGGAATAATTTTTTCAATCGGTGTTTGTTTTCCTTGATCGTTTTCAGATTTTGTTTCTTTTTCAATTTTCTTTTCTGTTTTTTTTTCTACAGTTAATTCGTCATAGATCTTTTTACATTCTTCTCCAAATGCATCGAGGAACACTCTTAAGACTTTACCCATCACGGATGTATTATTTAATTTTTCTACACATGCTTTCGAAGCTTTCGTACTTTCGAATATCACTCTCGCAATTCCAAGATGTTTGTTAGTTAAAGGATGATAATAAACAGTGAGTTCTTCTACAATTCCAAATTTTTGAACCATGTCTGTTAAAAAAGTCTTATCGATATTGTCATTTAAATGGCAAAATGTTACTTCGAGTGGAGGTGGTTCGCCGCAATAATTAGAGTCAATTTTAAATCTAGGTACAGGCAGGTCAAGTTGTTCTAAACGAGTCCAAATTCTTGTTAACTGTGATCTGGGGTCTCGAGGTTGAACTTCAGGATAAGTTGGGTCTCCTGGAACCATACCATCGTATCTGTACAATTTTGTTGCACCTTTGACTAAAAATGGATCAACTAGTAGCTTGTAATTCCTTGGTTTCTGAGGTATTTGTACAGCAGATGCATCCTTCTGCGAGTGTGTTACATGGGTGTGGCTATGCTTCGACGATAGATTTGAGTTTTGGGATATACTTTGTGAATTCCCATGTGAATGACGATGACGATGCGAGTGCGCATGTGAGTGTCCATGTCCATGCCCATGTCTCTCCATTCCGTTCATTGCCTCCAAGCATCATCCATTCATATAAATTGCTATAAACAGACATACAGAAAATGCAATGATAAGTTGATGTTATTATTGTAGCATACATTAAATTGTATAAATACGATGAATTTTTCAAGTATTTTAAAGTAGTTTGCATTAAACAAGTCTATATTGTACGAATTATACATTCGATACACGTATAATATTAGAGAATTATATAAAACATGTGAAACATTAATAAAAATTGATAGCATTGTTACATGCAAGCTGACATCTTTAATTATATTATACAATTGTAATGTAGTATATAATAAACGAAAATGCAAAGTAATTTAAAAGTATAAGTTAGAAATGGAAAAATTGGGAGAAACTAATTAAACGAATCTATAAAAGGGTAGATTTTAACAGAAAATATAGAAAACCTTACTATATCAACACAACGAATACTTTCTGTTATGAAAAAAACCAGATACACGATAAAAAGACCTGTTTCTATTTTTAACTTACATCCAGTTTGTTTTTCTTGTCCTGATAAGTTGCTTCGTCCGTTAATGAGAGAAATTCATGTTTCAATAAAACATAACCTTAAACATTTTAAAGCTTTTAGGTTGGAGTTTCATTGGAAGAAACGATAACGATAACCATTTCTTAAACAGTCTTCCTTGTAATATGTTCTTTACAGTTATTTCTTTGTATAGACTCCAACAGAGGGGAAGTTTTTCTTATGGAAAACACAGTCTTTAAGTTTTATACAAAACGTTCCGGTTTTTTCAAAAACTTGCAATTTTTCGACTTGTTCCTATAACATTATGTTTACTGTGTGGACGTGAATCAGATATCAGCCTCGTAACTTGTTTCCATTTTATTCTTTGTTGACTGTTCGTGAAAAATATATCGGTGCTACCTCTCAGACACACCAGCGCAAAACTACCTCAATGTTTGACTGCTCACTGCTAGCACAACGCACTGCGCCCTGATTTTCCAAATTTTTATCGAGTATTAATCGGTAGTATAAACAATGGTACGGGAACGAATCAATTTAGTGAAACTTATTTCACTTTAACTTAGTGGATAGTACGTGTTGACTAAATTTTAACAACTTCATTGCTTTGATAAAACTACGCGAACACATTCGGATGACGCCATCCTTGTTAGAAAGACCATGACGGCTCTTTTGACCATTTTACTAAACAAATCGTACGAACATTTTTAATGAAAACGGATACTTTTCTTATTGATAAACGAAATGCATAATATATTTACGAAATATCGCTAAACTGAAATCCACCAAATGAAAGTCCAATTAGATGGTTGAGCTAAATATTAAACATTTTTTTTTCGTTTTCTAATCTGCCCTGACTCACAAATTTTAGTGTCGTTGAAAGAATTGTTCAACATTACGTCGGCGTCGTCTGCTGGCATTCTATGTATTTATATTTATCAATAATTCGCAACGATAATTAATTATCGATAGTATCGCAAAATTATTGTTGGAAATCTTTCCATGTAATAATGACATACGCGCATTGTTCTCTTTTCGATCTAAGAGAATTTTCAGCCACTCATTGACAAATGAACTGTCTTCCTTTAAAAAAAATTGCGCGTTATCATGCGCACTTGTAGATACAGTACTTAACAAAAGTATTGACGCGATATACTAATTGTAAGTATTTACATAAAAGTTACAATAATATGATAATTATATAATATATCTATTATTTTATTGGCTAAACTAACAAAATAAATTATCATCTTCCGCATACATATTTATTACTATTATACACACATTGAGATAACAAGATTATGGAAAAAAATGACTAGCATTATTTAAATGAAAATTGTTTCATATAATCGTACGTATATTCTAATAAATATTAATCATGTGTAAAACATTATTTTTTTGGTCGATCTTTTTTTAAACTCATTTACAAGGGAAGTACATTTTTATCAATGATTCCAGTAGAATTAGCTGTAACGGTAACTAGATTGGACCTAATGAGAACATGACAACTACGGCAGTGGCAATAACATCGCTTGTCAATGCAAATGAACACCGAATCAAACGCATTCATGGACTTGGTATGATTTAGTGTTATACTCATTATTGAAATATGCAATGTGTTTTCAATTTCTATTACTCCGCTAATAGAGGGCTACTGTCTTCCTTTCTTTTCTCGCAACTTCTCAATACTTTCATGTGTAAGTGTATGCATAGTCACATCATAATACTAAATACCAATGCCGAAAAGTAAACCAAATGGGTGTATCCTTTGATCAAACGGTTTATCTAGAAGGCCACCGCTTACTAACCCGCTTCGTGAGCGCTCACTCAGGCTCACTCGGCTTAGTAAGCGTTAAGTGGTGGCCGCCTGGATGTAGCCAATGGTACTTCTCTACACATACACCCAATCCAATCCAACGGACATAAACTCTACCTTGTTCCATCTAGCTGGTTCTATGGTTCTAGCTCTTCATTTTTGTAGCACTATCGTTATATTGGAAACCCGTTGTATACAATTGGATATTCTCAATTCATTGATCGAATACCTGTGCAGAATTGAAATAAACACTACTCATAAAACTATGTCTTTCCTGAAAAATTTCATTAAACAGTACATCCCAACTGTGAAAGCAGAAGACGAAGAGTTGGTTGATCCTCAGAAAATACTCCGTGTGAGTAAAAATGATTATATAACATTTTGTATTATAATACAAATCACTTATAGTACAATACTTATAGTCCTTTTTTTTTATATATGCTGATATAAACTTGCAGAAAGTTGAAAGTTCATTTCGTCCAGTTTTTTATTTTCTATTAGAACAAAACAATTTATTATTGTACATTATATAAATTTTTTTGTTGCAATTTTAATACATGTCAGTTTACGTTTATTTGCATTGATGTCCAAGCCCTTTCTATTGTACAGATATAAAGTTATAAATTTGAAATAGTAATAGTACCTTTCTGAATATTATTATTCTTTTTTACAATACAAAAAAAAAAAAGAAGAATAGTTTTATCCACACATATAAAAGATTATTCTTTCTATAGGAAAAATGTGCTCTGCGAAAAAAGTGCGTTTTTATGCAAAACCAACTGACAACATGTAACGATCGTGTCAATTCAAAAAGTGATACAGACGAAACATGTATCGAAGAATTAATTGATTATGTAGAATGCGTAGATCATTGTGTAGCAGAAACACTTTTCAGTAAACTGAAATAAGATCGCATTTCACGTAAAAGTATAGGATTTATGTTAAGAAGTGTTATAAGGTAACTTCATATGTTATAGATGTACAATTATTATGAGGAATAAATGATAATTTATGAATGGGTATTAAATTTCTGTCGACATTCCATCATCTGTATTTAAAATTGAGTAACTATAAATTTAACAAATTTTCAACAAGGATACTTATATAATACAGTAAAATATACATACTCAGGCTTGCATAATATTATGCAGACTTATTTTCCATGAAAAATGCATATGGAATGACATTTATTTTATTTACATATGAATGTTCTTTTTTCTTTTTTTATTGAAGTCTTTTTTTCATTCAGCACCTACTTGTAATACATCAAAACATACCGCACAAACACGCACTGGTTTATTTAATCCAAATTTTACAATTGGCACATCTTGACCAGAACATTTATTGCACAAAATTCGACCACAATGGCGGCTAAAAAAATTGTTTAGATTAGTTTTACATCCGTATATTATGTGCATTTATTCTGTATATAATTGTTTCATAGTTTTTATACCAGTGATGTTTCCGCATCGTAAGTGAAAATTTGGTACCACACTCCAAGCAAAGATCTTTATCGGCCCATGGTGCTTCTTGTGTTAAGGAATCTAACAATCTGTATAGTAATTGTTTTGTTGCTACTTGATAATTAAAAATTGTAATGCCTTCTTTATTCATAGATCCTAAACATGCACCAGCCTTTACCAAAGTACGGCAAAGCTGACCATTGCCTTTCATATAAGCAATTAATAGGGGAGTATTACCGTCCAAATCTTAAAGAAGATATTTATTTTAATTTGTCATAAAATGATTAATGTACAACATTATTATTGTATTAATGTAATTAATATTTTTCTTTAAATATTTTTTTTTACCTGCATTATTTACTGGGTATTGTGACATACATTCCAAGAAAAGTTCACAAATAGTTGCAGCGTTATCTTTCCCACATCTAGCTAATTCGTGCAGAGGATTTCTTCCCTTCAAATTCACTGCTTCTGCATCCAGTGTACATTCAGTCAAAAGTGTTCTCACTACCGATACGTGACCTTCTCTTACAGCTACATGCAATGCATTGTCTCCATCTGCATTTACTGCATCAAAGTTAATGTCGTTCTGCAAGAAAAGCAAATCTTGCTACAAAATGATTTGTAAAATACGAAAAAAGTACTTTGTATTTATTTAAAGAAACATATTTATGCATAAAAATGTCTTTGCAGAAATATATAAACCATTTTGTATTACCTGCAATAAAGCAGATGCAACTGCAGCATGACCTGCTTTTGCTGCGGCATGTAACGCAGTATTTCTGTTTGCGTCTGTATCATTAACGCGTGCATCAGCCAAAATTAAACTTCGAACCAACGTTTCATTTCCATTGATTGCAGCTAGATGTAAAGGTGGAGTTTGTGTGACATCGTGAACTCTGGAATTCACGTCTACCTACAAAATAACTGATTCAGTTACATGTATGTGTGGTGTTTAATTTTGTAAATATTTCGCAAATAGATACAGCATAAGAAGCTGAAGAAAACATGTAATTTAAAAAATGTTCACCTGTATAGATAACAAGAACAAAATGCTTTCCATGTCATTTTTCTGAATGGCAGTATGCAAAAAATTTCTACCTTTGTTATCATACTGTTCGGCAGCTTTAGGAAGTCGTTCCAATATTGCTTGCGCCGCCTTATTGTTTCGAAATGTTAAAGCTGTTGCAAATGGTGTCAAACCTTTCTTATCTCGTTTATTTAAATCTATACTAGGATGACAAAGCAATAAAGAAATAATTTGTGAATGCTGGTTTTGTATGGCTACGTGTACTGGAGTTTTGCCTTCTGCATCTCGAGCATTCACATCGGCACCATGTTCGATAAGTGTCTGAACAACTTGTTCTAGTCCCCATTGACAGCATAAATGTAACGGGGTACATTCATCTCTTGCCTCATCACCTCCTCTACCATCTGAACCAGGTCTCCTTGGTGCATTTAAATCACAACCACTAAAATAAATATTGTTTAAAAAATATAATATAATTTTTAATATGAATTGTGCATTTTAAACGTATTATATACCTTCTTATAAGAAATTGTGCAACATCTTCTTTGTTGTCATCGATTGCTCTGTGTAATAATGTTTGTTGACAACCATCTGGGCCAGGACTCCAACAGTCAGTGTCAGCTCCATACTTAACTAAAATAGATGCTATATCTTCTTGATCCGAATCTAGAGCATCCCATAATGGGCATCCCACAGAAGTATCCGCACCTCTTTTACAAAGAGCCTCTACCACTTCACCCAGTCTACAATGTACAGAAAGTTGTAACGGGGTCTCTCCATTTGTAGTCCTAAGGAAATATAAAATTGTTAAAATATATATGTCAATATAGAGCACAAATTTAAATTCCATTCTCTCTAATTTTGTTTAAAGTATTTACCGTGTATTCATGTCTGCGCCATTTTCTAATAAAAAGATCGCAGTTGCTGAATCCTCTTTCAGTATTGCTTGATGCAATAATGTCAAACCTTCTTCGTTACATTGATTAATATTTGCTCCAGCTTTTATTAAAGCCAAAACAATATCTTTGCCTTTCTTAAGTGGAGCTTTAATAGCTAAGCTTAAAGGTGTTTCGTTTGCGTTATTTTTTAATTGTAATTGAGATTTTGCATTGGGAGCATTTAATAATTCGACTACCATATCGAAATATAAATTCGAAATAGCAAGATGTATTGGTGCATCTCCAGTTGACAAAGTAACTTCATTTATTGGAAACCCATTTTTTAATAAAGCTTTAGCTAAATTTTTCAAACCAACTTTACAAGCCTCGTGTAAAACTAAACATCCATCATTATTTTTTTTCATTATATTATCCTTGCAATAATCAATTAAAAATATCGCTGCCTCTTCTTTGCATTCTCGGGTTAAAACATGTAGCAAAGTGTCTCCTGTATTTTTGTATACAGGATTGGGAGTTGCACCTTTAGATAAAAGTTTTGTAGCGAAAGATTCGTTGAATGGATCTATTTTCATTGCAAAACATAATGCAGTGTCATTCTCATTAGTAGTTTTATCTAAATGTACATTTTGATATTGAAGCAATATATCAAAAAGAGCTTCGTTTTGTTCCCAGACACAGCTATGCAAAGCAGTCCTGCAAAATAGAAAGTAATAATAGTAAAGTTATTCAAAATTTATGCTGTGAAATAAGAGTAACTGAAATATTATACCATCCTTTCTGATTCTGTAAATTAGGGTCAATACCAGCTTGAAGTAATTGGGATCCAATGGCTAACATATTTTTTGTGTTGTGCTTTGCTACCAAATGCAAAGCAGTACATCCTTCAAGATCCTCAGGATTTTCTATGTCCTGTGCATTTCCTGTAATCTTTACAGCTTCGCATAACTGTTGCATGTTACCAATTTTTTCCAACTGTTCTATTATAAATTCTGCCGAATAAGAATCTCCTTTAAAAATTGCAGCGTGAAGTAAAGAAAGACCTCTCAAATCTTTTGCACTTAAATCAGCCCCATGTTCAACTAAAGTACGAGCTAATGACGGTTGACGTGTTTTTAAAGCAGCTTCTAAGGGTACTTCTCCCTTCTGATCGAGGGCATTTACAGCTTTTGGTAGCTAAAACACATAAATACAACAAAGTGATCAATTGTGTATGTAATCAGCAAGATGATGCACTATATTAACTGTTATACCCAATTGCAAGCTACGCACCATCAACAAATAAATGAACATGAATGTACATGTATAATTTGAAACGTATTATAAACTAAACATTGATTTTAGTCATCGTATTCACCATAAAATATAATGAATCCGCTTACTTTTCCATTTTTATCTCATATCATTAGTTGATAAAAAGGTATCAGTCATAATAGATGATAGTAGATATAAGCATCCTGTTTATGAACCGGTTGAGAACCACTATTTTAATTCTACGTTAGAAGACAGTGCGCATACGCCCACCACGGATGCATGTGTACATATGTGTTGTAGCAGTATGTATCAACATTATTTTTAGTATTAAAAGAATACAGACGTCAGTGCAGAAAAGTATGTGGAGAAAAATATAAAGATTACATTTCGATGTAACAGAAAATGTGATTGTAAAGGATGGAGAGGACATGACGTGGCGTATGGTACAGTCATCTAACCACAATCAACTTCCGACTAATGAGTGTATTTTATCGCAGAACCGTAAAAGATTAATTGAAAGACTGACGCTGCAATGTGACATTTAGTTAATGTTAATAAAGTGTTGCTAGGAACAAGTGTCAGTGCGTAATTGGATAATACCTTACTCAACAATTGAATGTCAAGCATAGACACAAAATTCTTTATCTTTTAAATAAATTTCAAACATCTAATTACTTATAAATTCCACAAATTCTTGCCTGACACTTTAAAAGCTTAGATCCATTGTAAGTCCATTCTTTTATTAAAAACAAACACATTAAAAATAAAACTTTCTAATTGTTTAACCCTCAAAAAATTGCTTTTTTAATATTTTGATTTGTAAACACTTCTCGTTATTGAACAAAAAACATTACATTAATGTACTAATGCTTGCTGTAATAACATACGAAATAAATAGCTATACACTGACTAAAACTTATCTATCCTTTAACAATATAGCTATAGTGACTAACAATTCGATTTTAATATTTTTGAGTCAGCATTACATTTTTCTTTAAGATAACGTTATAATTAATTCTATTGTAAACATTATCTACTAAAACTTAAATTAAATGATCTGAATTTAAATTTCATAAAATAAATTATAAAAGATTACAAATAAATGAATAATGTATTTACCTAAATATAAAAAGATTAGTTTTAATTATTTTACATCTGTATAAAAAATTACATGAGGATTTGCAAAAAATTGCTATAATATATATGTAATTTGTTGTGTCATTAAGTAGATTGAAAAAAATAAACAAATTATGTACCAATTAAAAAATTACAATTGATAATGTGTTTGAGGCTTCCTCTAAAAAAAAATTGTTCCAATATTTTGCAATCATTGTAGCTAATTTTATCAGTGGTTAGGTTCAAATAACACTAATATTGGTGCAGGTAGCATGGATCTATTTAGGGTATCTGTGTTTATGTTATGGATCATTGATTGTTAAACACTCAGCTTACGTTATAAGTCAGTGGTCATGAAATAAAAACTAGGAAAACTGTATTCTAAATGAAGTTAAAATAGTAACTTATTTGTTATTTTAATTGTTTCTTTTAGTTTGACATAAGCTTGGTAATCAATGACCATCAAACCATAAACATAGATTCCCTAAATAAACTCAAATTATAAAACACATATCAATGTTTCTTTTGACTTCTGAAACCCTGCAAATTTCCTGGACATCGCTAAAGAGTTTAGTTTATATATTATTAATTGTTAAATTGGATAATCCCACGTTTAATTGATTCAATTGTTTCAGATTTGTATTGTGATGATGATGAATTGAATATTAAAGCCATAACACAAAAAATTAAATAAATACATACAAAAACTGACCGATAACAAGCATAAATAATGTTAAAAGAAACTTTTTTTTAAAATAAAAATAAATATTTTACTGTTAGTTGGTTTAAATTCAAGCATAAATGAGATGACTTTCCTAATAAAGCACTGGCAAAGTGTATTAATTGCTGCAATTTTTGTGTGTATGTACACATTTAGGATATTTTAACTTTATATATTAAAGTTTATTCATTTACTTTACATTTATTGTATTTGATATGAAAATTACTACAGAATATTTAATTCCTTTTTTAAATTATGAAAATATTAAACAGTTTTAGAAACTATAATATCAGTAAATGCAGATGGTATATCATGCTTCAAATGTTATGCAACTCAACCAGGACACGAAGAAACTAATCTGCTATGTTCGCAATTCGATGGAAGTGCTCGATTTCAAGTGCTCTGTCCTTCATCGACACTTTGTAGGAAAAAAACTATTCATTACAAGTTCAAATGTAAGTGAATTATTATTATTTTATTTCAAATTATAAATTAGGAAAAGCATCGTATATGTAATGTATTATTGATTTATTATCTTTGATAGCATCTGTAATCACAGCTGTGGAAAGAGATTGTGCACCTCAAAAAAGTGCAGTTCCTATATATAGTTACATAGAAAACAAATGGCAAAATAAAGAAGAAATTGTGACAACAGCTTATGAAGAAGGTTGTTTCATTGGTGAAGATAGAGGAGCTCCGGCAGGTCCTCCAGAATATTGCTTTTGCAGTTTTCACTTATGCAATTCATCAAAATCAATTCAAATCATGAATATGTATCATATTTTTATATTAATAGCGACATCACTATTTGCAAAGTTAACATAATATTTTTATTCTAAATACTTATTGTTATGAAATAAAAAAAAGAATACTTTTCCTTATAGTTTCATATTAAGAATAAATAATAATAAGGTATCGTACAATTAAGTTATTATAATTTTAAGAAACCATGACTATGTGATACAGAAGTATTTAAATAAATAAACTAAAATAATATTTTTGCATGCTAGAATATTTACTTAACAAGGTGAGCAATATTGCAGCACATATTTGTTGTCAATAGATTGTGAAAATTAATATTTACATCATAATACTTAAGTACTTAAAGCAATCTGTGAAAATTTGTATATATCATTTATTAAAATGAAAAAATAAAACAATATAAATATACTTATTAATGTGAACATTTAAGAGAATGAATTTGTTATATCGCACGTTCGTGATATCTATTGTATAAGATCTATTGTATAACTTACCCCTGAATTATTTTCCACTAAATATAAAAAAACCACATCTTCCCTCATCAATCGAATAGCAGCATGTAATGGGTATTTACTTTTCGTTTGCAATAACTTATATAACAATGAACCAGGCATTTCTTTAAAGTCTTCACCAGTTAAATCTTCCTAAATGTACAAACTTTTAATACAATCATTTTATAATTAGTATTTAAAGAAATTAGTAGATATTGCTTTCATCTTACCCAATGGGCCGAAATCAAAGAGCTGCAATGTTCTTTTAATTTTTGGGTACTTAATTCTTCGGCAGCTGCATATAACTGTACACAGTCTTTGAATCCTACAATTCCAATTAAATATGTCTCGCATTGTTCAACTAATTCTACCAATTGAAAATTAGATGCTGCTTTCATTAAATCCAATGTTAAATTTTCTTGAGATACTTTTCCTGTATAAATCCATTTTAACAATACTAATCCAACACTGGACTCTAAATTAGACCAATCTACAAATATATGTCAGAATTTATTTATGTATATGTAACTATCTTTCGTGTATTTCTATCGACTTTTTGTCATTTTACCTAAATTAGTCACTTCAGAAAGTTTTGAATCACTAAAAAAGTCTGTTCTAGCAGATAGTATAAATTTATGTGCAGGTATTTCTTGATTTACTAATTTGATGGTTACATCGCTATGAAATGAAAAAAAAAATCATTACTTGTAACATTCACATATATAATTATAATTTCAAAACATTATAGACCTGTAGCGATGTTGACCGTATAACGATGCTATTGTTATTAAGAGTCTTCCGATAAAGCCAGACTCCTGTTTACTTGCTGTAGCAATAGCATATTCACGTTGAAGTTCTGTGTTTGCATTATACAAATTAACATACTGTTCTCGCAGTAAAGATAAATGCTGATGCCATTTCTGTGCTTCCATAGAATCTTCTGAAATGCATGAAATGTAAAATAGTTTTCGATGCGCGTACGAGCGTTTGTAACTTACCCATAATTGTAAAAGCAATTGCAATAATTCTTCTAGCAAACGGTGTAAAAATTACTGCATGTCCGGTTTTTTTTTTTTAGGGTACCTTACATTTGTTCTGCATAATTCGTTCTAAATAAAAAAAAAAAATAAACGGTAGATAACGATCAAACATTTTAAAAGGAAAAAGATAACTTTCAAAGTAGTTTCAACGTTTCATTTATACTTGGAAAATGCATTAATGAAATTCTATCATATATTATCATATATTATACGCCCACACACAGCATTCGCTATATCTGTCACACACGTACGATTTTATTTTTATTTCTACAGAAAATGTAGCCACACTATTAAAAGACAGCATAAAATTCCTATATAATTTAAAGAGAAAGAAAACCTTTTTGAATATCATTACCAATATAATAAGTGATCGGTATTATCGGCGAACCGCTTTCTTTCATTAGATATGTGTGTAATTCACTCTTGTATTCCTCAGTCCACAGATTCTTTAATTATAGTGTGTCACTAGCATTTCCCCTAGTGGGAAGGTGGCATTCTTCCCTAGTGGTCAAAGACACCAAAAGCTCGATTTCTAATTGTAATAAATTTTCCAATTTTTAGAGTATAGTTAAAGGTATCGTAATAAAGAGTCACAAATGACGGGTAATTCGAAAATTAAAAAATTAGCTATTTGAAAAATATTATTATTATTATTTAGTAGCCAATAGCTGCAGAGAGCGGTCGCTATATTTGGGAGCGAAAAATCTGTAGACTTACACGGCTGTGAGCGGTCACAGAGCGGCTTAGCGAGCGGTGACCCTATGAACTCATTGTTAGTGATCCTCTAAAGATCGCTATTCTTTCCTAGTGATTTTCTCTTGTAAAATGAAACGAATCAAAGACAGTAGGTGTATTCGATACATATTTCATTTGGTATTTTTAGTATCGCCGCAATTCTTCACTGAAAATTTCGATTGTAGCAAAGTATAATGCTGAAATTAAAGGTATTACAAATAAATCAACATTGAAAGAGTTGTATATCAAATTTCATTCGTTTAAAGTTTCATTCGATATATTTCGATATGCAAAGCGAGAATCTTTGCGAAGTACAAGTAGACTGCAGTAGACAGTAGACTGGTTTGATTGGATCTAAACAGATCTAAACAAAATGGATATGTGTTGAGTGGATACGTCTTACAGTAAATTCTTACTGCACGAGTTTCATGAATTATAGTGAAATCTAAACGAAACGAGAAAGGAATAATTACTTCGTATTAATTGAAAATAAAGAAAATGTTAACTGCTGCTGCGAATTCCTTATCAAATAACGGAGGGTCTTACAGCAATGACAGACCGTCAAGTACAGCAGATGTAGAACTTGCAACTGATCCTGCTTCTGGTGGATTTTTTCATTCTGATTACAAAAAGTAAACATATTACTTACTTTTATTATCCTACTAATTAAAATATTTTAAGACTATTCTCAAGTTTCCAATAACTAAAATATATCTACTTACATATTTTAATTTAAATCTTTCTTAAACACAATTATTTTCTTGTCTTAATTTTGACTTTGTTGCATCTGCATGGTATTCTGTAATGCTGGACTGACTATTGGAAATGTTAATGGAAATATATTTAATCAAAAATGGAATGAAACATGATGAAATATATTTACATATATGCATTACATGTATAAATGGTTTTATTTCATTTAGACATGACGATTTGAAACAAATGTTGGACAGTAATAAAGATGGACTTAAGCTGGAAGCTATGAAACGTATAATTGGGGTAATATATTTTTTGGATCTGTTATATAATTGTATTGTATAATATTTAGAAACTATTGGTTTCTAATTTTACTCTAAAACTGTTTAACTACTTTCCATGAAATTATGTACTATGCATGGATTGGCTCTTCTGTGACGTATTTCATAGATGCTACATTATATCAAATATTAATTCATTGCCTGGCAAAGTGGTTAAACATTTTTATTATATCATTTAATAAAAATAATTAAATCAATATTAATTGTTCTATTATAATTCTTAACTAATTTGAGGTTTAATCCTATCATGGATAAAACAAATAAAGTGAGATGTGTTTTTCAGATGATAGCGAAAGGAAGAGATGCATCGGAATTATTTCCTGCTGTAGTCAAAAATGTTGTATCTAAAAATATTGAAGTGAAAAAATTAGTTTATGTGTATTTAGTCCGTTATGCAGAAGACCAACAAGATCTTGCCCTTTTATCTATTTCTACATTCCAGCGAGCATTGAAAGATCCTAACCAGTTAATAAGAGCCAGTGCTTTAAGGGTGCTCTCGAGCATACGTGTTACTATGATTGTGCCTATTGTAATGCTTGCTATTAAGGATTCGGCTAGCGATATGTCGCCATATGTTCGGAAAACTGCTGCCCATGCAATACCTAAGCTCTATTCTTTAGATCCTGATCAGAAAGAGGAGTTGATAAGTGTTTTAGAAAAGCTGTTATCCGATAAGACAACTTTAGTTGTGGGTTCAGCAGTAATGGCTTTCGAAGAAGTTTGTCCTGAAAGAATAGACTTAATACACAAGAATTACAGAAAACTCTGTAACTTGTTAGTAGATGTTGACGAGTGGGGTCAAGTTGTTATAGTGAACATGCTTACAAGATATGGACGAACACAATTTGTTAATCCTAACATAGATGTATGTATAATTACTTAAAATTATATACAGTATAACCAATATACATATTCTTTGAAAATTATTTTTATAGAATATAGAAGAAGACGAAAATCGCCCATTCTACGATTCTGATTCTGATTCATCTAATACAAAGAAACCAAAATTATCGTTAGATCCTGATCACCGATTATTATTACGAAACACAAAACCCCTTTTACAAAGTAGAAATGCCTCTGTGGTAATGGCGGTGTCTCAATTATACCATCACACAGCACCACGAAGCGAAGTAATTATTGCTGCTAAAGCACTCATAAGGTTATTAAGAGGACACAGGGAAGTGCAGAGTGTAGTTCTTCATTGCATTGCTAGCATGTCAATTACCAGAAAGGTAATGTAAGTACTTATTATATTTAACGATAATACGATTTATTGTATACATAGAACATATGTATACAAAATATCACTTTTGTGACCCTTTTTATAATTAAGAATTTTATGCAAACCATAATTCATAATATTTCTGTACAGGGAATGTTTGAACCGTTTCTTAAGTCGTTCTTTGTAAGAACTTCAGATCCTACACATATAAAGCTTCTAAAATTGGATATTTTAACGAATTTAGCAACAGAAACTAGCATCGGAGTTATCCTAAGAGAATTTCAAACATATATTTCTAGTAGCGATAAAGAATTCGTGGGAGCAAGTATACAAGCAATTGGAAGATGCGCAAGTAATATAAAAGAGGTGACCGATACATGTCTGAATGGATTAGTTTCCCTGCTGAGTAACAGAGATGGTGAGTACTTATCGAATGTATAATTACACTCTGAGTTAATGCTTCTCTAATTATAATATTTCACCTAATTCCGTGTTCAGAAGCTGTTGTAGCAGAAAGTGTGGTGGTTATAAAAAAACTCTTACAAACTCAACCGAATGAACATAAAAATATAATTGCTCATATGGCTAAATTAATGGACTTCATAACTATACCACAAGCGAGGGCATCGATTTTGTGGCTCTTGGGTGAATATTCCGATAGAGTACCTAAGATAGCACCAGATGTTCTTAGAAAAATGGCTAAAAACTTTATAAACGAGCAAGACATAGTGAAACTACAGATTTTAAACTTAGCTGTAAAGCTATGTTTGAATAATCCTGGACAAACCAAAGCATTTTCTCAGTATGTTTTTCAGCTGGCAAAATATGATCAAAATTATGACATTAGAGATCGTGCACGCTTTTTAAGGCGTTTTATTTTTGATGAGGATGATCAGACAAAGAAACTTCTGCAGCTTGCAAAACGAATATTTCTCGCTCCAAAACCTGCACCAACTTTAACGTCTAGGTTTAAAAATTCAGAATTTCAATTGGGTACATTATCACACTATCTGGACATGCCATGTGCTGGTTATCGGCCTTTGCCACCTTTTCCTAATGCAGCTCCCGATCCATCCGTGAGGGATATTGCAAGTACCGATGTGATAGACGCAAGAGAAGTATATTGTTATAAAAAAGATAAAAAAGATAAAAAAGGAAAGGAGAGAAAAAAATCATCTTTTTACAGTGACGAAGAAAGTGTGGCGGAAGGTAAAGTTTAGGAGTACAGAAAGTTACATACAGAAAGGTAAAACTTCTAGATTAACATATTATTCCAAATTTTTAGATTTGAACAATGAATCTTCAGATACTTCAACAAATGACTCTTCGGATGAAAACAGCGTTTCATCTGAATACACATCAGGCACTAGCAAGTCTGAGAATGACGAGAATAACGAAGATAAGAAGTCTGATGATTCTAATAGCGAGTCAGATACTGAATCAGATTCTGAAGAAACTTCTGAAGATTCCGAGGAGAGTGAAGAGAAGGAGAAGTATAAACTTTCAAATCAAAAATCAAAAGAAAAACCAAAAAGTAACATTGATCTTCTATTAGAGTTAGACGATGGTAAGATATAGCATTACAATTGTGTTGAAAACCATATATAAAAACTTATTTTTAAATTTTTATCTAGAAAATTACTTACAGTTGATTTTCGTTAACTGACCCGCCTTAAAACTAAATATTTATAAAGGAAACATTTACATTTTATTATAATATTATTGCAGTCATTCCAATAACACCTGTTATGCCATTGAGTACAGCAGGTTTTCTTACTCCAATGAATTCCAATATTACAAATGATATTAGAGAAGTACCAACTTCGTTCATTCCAGTGAAGAAATCTGAATTGTTAAATAGTATTACCGGTCATGGTTTAAAGATTGAATACAGGTTTACAAGATCACAACATTTAGTAAGCGCTCATTTTGTTACCATAGAATTAACGTTTTCCAACGAAGGTAACGAGCCTATTAAAGAAATACAAATGGGAATGAAGGTGAATTATTGATGTGTTAAAATTTTTGTTTAATTTTTAGATACATTTGCAATTACTAGAAAATATCTTAATTGTTTATTTCCTTAGAATTTACCAAAAGGTATGCTGATCCATGACTTCACGCAAATACCATTACTGGAGATTAATTCCAATTTATCCTCTACATTGGGTATCAATTTCAATGACTCTACGCAACCGGCAAATTTTAGTATCGATTTTGCAATTGGGGAAGAAAAATATTCATGCTCGGTTACTGTTAAACCGCCAATTGGAGAAATAATACGAGCTGTGATATTACCAGAACGTATGTTTACCGATGAGAAAATTAAATTGAAGGGTATGAAC